GGAGCAGGAGATCCGAAGAGATTTTCCACCCCGTCAACAAAAAAAAAAGGTATATTATTTACCTTCGAGAAAATCACTAATTTTATAATAGGTCTTACTTACTAGAAAGTCTAACTAGTCCAACTAAGTCTACTAGAAAGTGTAAAAGTTTTTTGAAAAGATTACTATTCAAGATTTTTAGTTTATCTGATAACCTTTTTTGTTTTGTTGACGGGGATGAAAATCCCTTCGGATCTCCGGCACCTCAGAGACGCAGGAGCCAGGAATATGTGGCGTTTCCATTAAAAACCACCCCGGTCTCAGGCGCTCTGCTCTAGGGAGGACCCGTACCATGTTATTTCAGGTCCCCCCGGATCGACGCCGCGCCTAGCCAGGCTCTATGCCGGGACATCTGATAACCTATTATTAATTTTTGGTGCCATGCAGTAAACATCTTATGTGGTAGTGCCGTATTTGCTTTATGTAATCGTAATCTAATTCGGGTGTTTTTTCTCCTGTTACGAGTGACCGCATCTCTGTCTCAAAAAGTTCCGGATTTGATATTGTAAAAGTTGTGGCTTCAAAAATATACGGACAAGGTAAAATCAGGATTTTATATTATCTAAAGTAAGGCCTTGTTTTGGGCTCACAATACTACTGATTTATTTGTAGAAATGCCTTAAAATAATATACCATATTTGTAAGTAAGGCGTCCGTGTGGTGACGGATTAAGAATACTGAGTGTCACCACCCCTACTCATCCCAGGGGTATCGTGAGAGACGACTAAGGGAGCAAACTACGCAGGACAACAGCACTGCAAAGAGAAGGAAAACTTGACACAAACCCTATACCAACCCGTCTGGCCAGCGTGGTATAGTAGGCCATAACCTCCTTTCTAAGGAGTGGCCTATGTCCAGCAGTGGACAACTAAAGGCTGTTAATGATGATGATGATGAAGGCATCAATATTAAGCACGGGTGTAAGTTTACTGTACTGCTGATTGTTTTAAATAGTCCTTCTGTATGTGCTTTCGATTTTTCGAACTACCCAAACCAACACACAAAGATTTTTTCTATTCGACCAGTAGTTTCTGAAATGATACCGTTCAACCGAACAAACAAATTCTTTAGCTTTATAATATTAGTGTACACACTAGGTATGTTATATGCATGCATTAATGTGTATACTAGGTACTTACATTATTACTAGGTTTGTCAACAATTTACGAGACTTTTTTCAAATATATAGTCCGTGTGATGACGGATAAGAACATTCAGTGTCGCCACCCCTATCCCTATTTACCCCGTGGGTGTCGTAAGAGCCAACTCAGGGAGCAAACTAGGACAGGCAACAGGACCAGAGCATTTTTGAATGGACCTTCTGGTTACAGAAATTCTATACCAACTTTTTGGATATCTCGCAAACCCACCTTAACGCTATATCACGTATAAACATTTGTGGGTTCCATTCCCACCCAGAACAAATAATTTTCTGATGAGCACGGTCATTTGTTCTGTGTCTGGGTGTAATTTATCTATAATATGTATGTATTTAGAAATATATAGGTATGTTTATCAGCAGTCTGGTTACCATAGTACAGGTTCTACCTAGTTTGTGATCAGACAGCTGTGTGTGAAATGTGTGAAATATTATTATTTAAGGTCTACATATATATACACATATGAAGGGACTTAAAATAAGGACTAAACGGTTGCATGGTAATTCGTCATTTTCAAAGTTAGATACACGAAATACGCAATAATTAGCAAAGTCGCAATAGCTGGTGAAAGAATAAGGTAATTAAAGAGACATTTTAACAAAATATAACATGCAAGGTAAGGTTTTCAGTAATCATTAGTGATAAGACTGTTTGTTGTGTAGCGAATCGGCGTATGAAGTTTTTTCTTATCCCAGCCATGGCACAGCGACTACGAAAACATCAGAGGTCCGCGGGTTCGATTCCCACGCAAATGTAGTGTGCATCCTAGCAGGCGGATCACCTAAAGTGTGACTACTGTCCGGACACCTACAACTAGTCACGAATTGGTGACCTGGAGATGGAAGTACGCTCTTATCGGTACGGTTTTAAGAATACCGCATATCGGATATTGGTTCTAATACTCTTTAGTGCTTTGTCCGTCCGTGGGTTTCGTAAAAGTCGACTAAGGGAGCAAGCTACACAAGACAACAGCACTGCAAAGAGAAGGAAAACTCAAAACAAACCCAATACCAACCATGCCAGCGTGGTATAGTAGGCCATAACCTCCTTTCTAAGGAGAGTTCTATGTCTAGTAGTGAACTATTAAATACTGTTGATGATGAAACTCACTCACTCGGAAATAAAACTAAATAATTACTTAACAGCGGTTTTCTGTAAGGCCGTAGTATTATTAATCCGGTCGTATTGGTCCGATATGTGTCGAATCATGGCATGGCAAGGTGTACGGAAATTTGTCGTGACGTGACGAAATTTGTGGTAGAGAATCCCTGAATGAAACCATCAAATAAATAAAATTGGAGTGTCTGTTTGTAATATTAAAATAACCGCTTTTTACTAAATGCATATGTATGTTTACACGGTACATATGCCAAAATAACATTTTTTACAATTTTTGTCTGTCTGTCTGTTTGTTCCGGGTAATCTCTGAAACGGCTGGACTGATTTCGACGGGACTTTCACTAGCTTCGCCCCGTGGCATTGCCCGCGGTTATAACAACAAACGCGGGTAACACTGCGGGTCTCAGCTAGTGATAAATATATCAACACACGAGCAAAAAGAGAAGCAAAGACATCAGATACCACATATACATTACGAAAATATGACGGTTTTAAGTAAGGTGGGCAAAATGTGGGCCATTAGTACAGGTACACAGTAGACATGGGACAAAATCACAGTGAACTGTGAATAAACTGTGATTTATCATTAGATTTTTTCGTACGTAGGTTAGGGTTACAACTTACCGGCACCAGGGACTTCCTTTCTTGGGTATACCTGGTTCCCCGGCTATTAGTACCCGAGGCGGCGTGCGGTTTTAGTCGGTTCGAGTCCGACATGCCACAATAGGTGATATCCGAGGGGATTCCCGCACGGAAAAAAAATAAGGTTACAAGTTACTCACGCGTTGTTGCCAATAAGCTGTTTTTTCTGACGATGCATAAAACACGCTGTTTGGCCTCTTTAACAATAAAATAATTACTAGATTTATTAATCTAGTAATTATTTTATTATATGTTGTTACCATTCCCTACATAATAATTTTGGATTACTAATAGATTTACTTTTAAATAGGCACTTTATGCATGAAAACAGCTTATTAGCAAGAACGCGTAAGTAAATAGCAACCCTAACCTACGTACGAAAAACTCTAATGATAAATCACAGTTCACTGTGATTTTGTTCTATGCCTAGTACACAGTACATGGGATGTCTGAAACGCGTTGTCGACATTAAAAAAAAACTTTCGTAAAATCTTGTAAGTTTTGAGTAGATTAAAAAATTTAATGTTTTGTTTCTTAGTGTCTGCTCCGCCCGCGTGTTTGTAGGTTTTCGCGGTAAAAAGTAGTCTATGTTACTTGCTGATAATATAGCTTTCCATGGTTGAAAAAAAAAAAAGATTTAGTGGTTAAGGTGTGAAAGCGCAACAAACAAACAAACCCACTTTCACATTAATAATTTAGGTATGGAGACTGGTAACATTCAATAGTATTAGTTTACAAATGTAAACTTTTTTATTAATTTAAAATCAGATTTCTTTTTTTACTCATTATTCTATAATATATGTGTATAATTACGAATACCTTTTTAAAATTCATACTATAATCCTAATGAATTATATCAGCAAAATATAGTAAAAAAAAAACTTTAAACTCATGAACTGAATAAAATAACAAAAATAGTTAATCATTTAAATGTAGTAGTTCTAATGTATTAAGAATGTTACATAAAACATCTAATCATTGATAACTTAATAACTACAATTTAACAAAACAGATAACTATCATACTTATCAAAATGATTACCGTCCTAAATAGTAGCAACACTGTATTTAATTTAACTGTTCAAGATAATACAGTAAATAATTAAATAGATTAAAAATATGTCATGTGATATTTAAGTCAAAAGTAAAATAAATAGGTTTTATTGCATTGCACTGACAAACTAGGCCTAATATAGTTTACTAAGGCTAAAGGTAACATGTAAAAAAAATAATTAGGTAACAGATTGATATAATAGACTCATAATTATTACAATTAAAATTAGGTTAATGGATCTGAAAATTGGTTTTAAATTATAATTTGATGAAACAAAAATATGTTTTAGTTTTAGAATAAATATAAAAGTTACTTTGAGATATGTTTTGTAGTAACTCTTCCAATATACAAACTTCCACAGGTTTGTTTAAAGTGAATTCAAATACACCAGTTTTAGATTACAGTACAAACTTAATTGAATGTCATAAAAATATTGATAATAAAATTATCTCACATGATAATGTATAAAGGAAATTAGAATCTTGTTTCAATAATATTATTAAATTAATTTAAAATGTCACTCACCTATTTACAAACTCTTCATTATAATTCCCAAAAAAAAGGCTTTGACAAATCGCTTTCGGCCAATTATTTATTACACAACTGGATACACAATCACTGATTATTTTTTTTTTATGATAAATAAACTTAGCATAATGGTTAATGGGTATTATCAAGCAGTTTACACCCAATCAAGGGTTTAAATAAGAATTTTGTACTAATATAGATAAAGAAACAATTACGTTTTGATAAGTAACGATTACAGTTAGTAATTGTAATATTGTAGACCGAAAAATAATGTGGGCGCGCGTCTTCTTGCTAATGTATGCGCTGCCGAGCGAATAGTAATAAAATTATACACGGCATAGCGTCGAATTACGCGTCTCCCGCTTTTAGTTAAAAGGTTAACAGCCAATTGACTACGGTTTTTTTTAATCAGTTAAAAATACAGACAGAGACTTACTACATAGTGTTTATTGTACTCACCGTCGCTAGCGGGTCGCATTCCACCTTTCCCGATATGCGTGGGCTCTCATTTTCATCTTGTTCACGTAATACCACTTTACGAATATCTAATATTTTGGTATCAAAATGCAAGGAGGTATAAAAAACTAGGATGACCACTGTTACATTACAACTGTCAAAACTGAACTTCACTCGGGTACTTGTGCCAAATGCCATAGACAAGGTTACATTTTATAAATAGATTTAGTATCGCTATTGGATAAGAGATGGTGTTAGCAGAACCAAGTTATCAGTAAAAAAACCATTGTATTGGTGATTATCAGAACATATTGTAGGTATGTTAAATTTAGGACAAGGCCTGTATTTTTTTTGCTATATATTTTTATGTTATAAATAATGGAGTATTAAAATAAAACAGGCACATAAAAAATAGGTTTTTTATTCGTGGTATATTGCAAAGCGAATATATTGAATAACTAAGTACCTACGTACAGGAATACTACCAGCAAAGTCATCTATAATATAGTATTCAGTTTCAAACTGCTATTGTGTCGTATTTATTACATTACTTTCAAGGTTATTTATCAGTTAATTAAAAAGTTTTGAATAATGAATGAGCTTAAAACATCATAAATAAATCTTGACAGTAGTAGGTTGTGATTTCCTATCATTATTGCTGGGACTTACCATTAATGTATCTGGTTAAAGGATTTAATCCAAGTATTACTTATTTTAACATGTTTCATGTGACTTTTATTCTTTACTACCAGTCGCTAGGTGGCGCTAGTTGTTAAATCATTCTTACCACTTATTACTAAAAACGTTTTACTTTTTATTACTATTCTCATCATGTCCCTATCTCAGCATGAGAATATAACAATATCTTGTTAAATTGGTTTTGAACCCTCTAGATCGTATGTTGAATTTTTATTCGCTATGAGCGAAGTGCATGGCGGGTTTTAGTAAATTTACAACAATTTAGAACAATTCCCTACAATTAATATTTTGAAATGGATTATAATTATTGTTTTGTTATGAACTTCAAAAATTAAGGTACAAATATTATTTTTATAATAACATGAATTCTATCTGAATTTCTATGCATTTTGTTATACATCCGTAATATACCGAAATAAAGTTGGTTATTTACAGGTCCTAAGACTTAAATATACACGTATGATGCAAAAAAAACCGTAAGTGTCAAATAATATGACAAATCAGATTATAATTAAAGAATGAAATAGAATTCAATGTTATATTTGTTAAGGCAGTAACATATATGACGACAATAGCTTTGTAAACACAGCACTTTGTAAACACAACACACACACACGGTATTTTACAAATTAACAAAAAAAAGGAAAAAATAATTATTTATTAATCACTGTTATAGTCTGTGGCTGAGCCTTCCCAGTAAGTAATCTTTCGATACTTTTGTTGGGAGTGACTCGCATCTTCCACTCGGGTTTGCTTAGATTTAGATAAAAATAACAAATATAGGTACTTAATTAACAAATTTAGTAGAATTTGTACTTAATAAAACTTCAATCTGTGTTTACACGGATGGCGTAGTGGTTTAAGCAGTTGCCACGCCGCTTCCTACTATACCGAGTGTTGTGGGTTGTGGCGACTCCCACATACAAAGAAACAGAAACATACTACAGCGCCATCTAATGAAGACACACCGAACTACGGAGTAACTACTAAAATAAGAATTGCTAATCCTGTATCGCGATATAAAGAATTCCCTCGCCGATTAGCATATATACAACTTCCCAACATCAACCGTGGGGCCGCGGCCCACCAGGCATGATCACCTCGCCTGGTCGGAGGATCCTCCCTTTGTGTTGGAGGGACATGACACCCGTTCCTCCACAGGGTACAAACCCCCGGGGTCCCATCCACAAATTGTTGTTCTGAGTCTGGGTGTTCTTTGTGTCCGTTTCACGTATGATTGTAAAATCCCTAATGCGTGAGCTGTCTTTTTGAAAAAAACCGTGTGTGTGTGTTCACTTGTATGCCCTACGGAGACCTAGTTTCTTGGGTTTGGATATTGTTTAACCACATACAAGTAACCATTTTAAGTATTATATTGATGAATATAATTTATTTTTATGTAATCCTTGTTAGGAGACTTTCCACTTCTTAATATAAAAACGTGTTTAGCCAATCTGTCAAAGTATTTTTACAAGTGTAAGCGGGCAAATATATATTTTAATTGTGCTGTTTATTTTATTATAGATATATGCAGACTGACATCTGAATTGACGTTGAGCGATACTGGTACGGACGAGAACTGTGGAAGGTACTTTATCTTTTCTTCTTGTCTTCTGTATGTCATGATCAAGTTGAACCAATCTGTGAAATGTTAATGTGTAACGTTGATTTAAGGACTTTGAAGGGCTGGGTGGTAAGTGGTAATCGAGTTGGTTAACACATTGCAAAGTTAAGCAATCCTAGCTCAGTCAGTCTAAAGGTGGGTGATCATTCTTAACGCATTGAGACCCCTCCGCGCCTCGGAGAGCACGCTAAGCCATGCGTCGGTCCATACGGACATCTGTGGCAATCTGTGGCATCGTTGCGGGTATTTGGAGACCTAAAAACTCCGACAAAAGTCTTTCTACAGAACTTCGATATTGTCTAGTACTTAGGTTATTGGAGGTCTGATGGCGGTCGTCCCCAACTTAGTTTAGGGATAAGGCTCGGCGAAAAATTATAAATTTATTTTTAAGAGAGATATTTGGTAGTTTTTCGTAATCAAAAAGTCGTTGATCAAAATATCCCAACCCCATGAAGTACAGAGCATAACAGAACGTTCAATGGAAAATACATATCTAGAAATACCAAAAGTTTAATTATCATATCAAGTAAATGCAAGCTCTCGTCATTAGAGAGCTACGTGTCCCCTCCCCTCAGCACTTAGCAGCACCCCCTCTCAAATTGCTATTTCCCGCATTGATGTAGTACAACACAATTTCTGATGGCATTCGCTCAACGTAAAACATCGTAATAGACTTACCGACCCCAAGCTAGTTTGGGAAAAAGCTCGGAGAGTTGAGGACTTTAGCTATGTAAAATAAATGGATATACTTTTTCAAGTTCAAGGTTTGAGAGTCGGTACTTTATAATAACTACTCATCTCACACACGACCGTCTGATCCCAAACTAGTCAGAGCCTGTACTATGGTAACCAGACTGCTGATAAACATACTTATATATTTCTAAATACATACATATTATAGATAAATTACACCCAGACAGAAGAAATCATCGTGTGCTCATCACACAATTATTTGTCCTGGGTGGGAATCGAACCCACAACCTCCGGCTTAGCAGTCAGGGTCACTAACCACTAGACCAACAGGCCCGTCAGTATTGGGTAATGTTACTGATTTTTGACTAATGATGTAGGCTTATTATTTACTGGTAAAAGCAAGTAATTGTGTCTATGTGGGGATTAAGAATACGGAGTGTCACCACCCCTATTCATCCTGTGGGTGTCGTAAGAGCCGACTAAGGGAGCAAACTACTCAGGACAACAGCAGAGCAAAGAGAAGGAAAATTTAAAACAAACCCTATACCAACCCGGACTGTGGACTATTAAAGGCTGTTAATGATGATGATCTAATTAGCCAAGATATTAATATTTACACAAAACAATTAAAATTGGCTACTTCAATTTCCTATCCTACCCTATCCGTGCGGTGACGGATTAAGAATACAGATTGTCACCACATCTATTCATCCCATGGGTGTAGTAAGAGGCGACTAAAGGAGCAAACTACGCAGGACAACAGCACTCAGAGAGAAGGAAAACTTGACACAACCCGTCTGGCCAGCGTGGTATAGTAGGCCAAAACCTCCTTTCTAACGAGAGGCCTATGTCCAGCAGTGGACTGTTAAAGGCTGTTGATGTGATGTGATGACTTCAATATTTAAAGTCGTTAACACGTAAACAAGACCTGAAATTCGGCATTGCATATCGATGTACTAGTTATTTCCATTTGTTATTTTTATTAAATAATATAATTTCCGTGTGATATTGTAGAAAAATCTGTTAATTATAATAACGAAACCGGTTTACTCCACAGATTAGGAGATATGTACATAATCTGCTTAGGCGCCAAAGCGTCCGTTTTGTTTTTTTTTAAACACAGAACACAAAAAGAGGCGTCTGTTGCCAAACTAAACTGTGTAGTATGCTAAACGGCTATCGATACCATCGTTATTGTCTATGAGTGTTCCAATTTCAATTTGGTTACCAAGAGCAGTAGAGTGGTTAAAAAATAAAAAAAATAAATTAATACTTATCAGTATTTTATGACTTTAATGTAATTAATTATGTGAATGTATCATATATTAAGAAAGGGTTGAGTAACAAATAATTAATTAATTACCAAAATAGCAATGGACTAAAGTAGAATGCAATAATTATTTCAAAGTATGCCTCAGGCATACAGCTACGAGTATATTCTTCTACCTTCGTGTTAAAGATGTTTACTCACAAAATTATTAGATAAGTTTATTTTAGAATACCTCAATGTGAAGGCTGATGCCTTTTTAACCCCCGACGGAATAGGGGTGTTATAAGGTCAACCTTTTTTTTTTTTTTTTTTTAACGTGTGGAATTCCCCTCGGACCGTCACCCCACCGGGGTTTGCGGCGGGGTGGTGTGTCGGACTCGGACAGACTAAAACCACACGGTGTGCCACTCTGCGCCTGTAATAGGAGGGATCCGGGAACAGCTGTTATTAAGACATCCGGACCCCTCCTAGCGCCGGCCCGCTCCTGTTGCGGGCTCCGTCTCAAAATTTTATTGCTCTCTTTAGGCGACGTCCGGCACACGCGGACGCCGCCCCCTCGCGGCTGGCCAAACTAATGCGGGTGGAGGGGAAACCCACCCCGTCCACCCGCGGCCACACTCAGGGCGGCATGAGGCGGTGATAGGCGCGCCTCCGCCGCCCGGTTCGCCGGCGGCGGATCGGGTCCGAGTGGAGGTCGTCCTCCCGGGCCTTCTCCGCCGCCTCCTTCTGCGAGATTACTTCCTCGCAGAAGGTTGCGACCGCGGTAAAACAACTGTCGCTACCGGCCATGGAGCGTACTACGGCCGGTAGCGAGAGATCCACTCCGATGACAGACCAGACTCCATGCGAGGCAGACCGCCAGCGTGTGCTGGGCCGAGGGTCCTCACTGCAGTCGCAGTGGTGGCAGGCGGG